GTTAAATATATCATATTATCACTGTCATATATACATTTAACGATAAATATTAAATTATATATTTATATATTTTAATTATTAACATTTTAAAATCTAACTAACTAAATATATTAATTAAATCATTAAGTATTTTTTTTTTTTTTTAATTCTGTTGTTCAAGACAATAGACTTGGATATTTTATCATGTGATTAACTCACAAATACTATTTGCATAATACAATTTATTTATTCATTTAATTTTAACTTATAGTTTATTAAATTTATAAATACTTACGACAGTGGCACAATAATCAAAAAAGGTCCATTTACTTTCTTTTTTTCCATAAGATGAGTAATAAGACCTATTGTTTGAATGGTTTTTCCTAAACCCATCTCATCAGCAAGTATTCCATTTAAATTATTGTTAAATAATGATACTAACCATTCAAGRCCCTAAAAATAAACAAAGTTGAAGTTAACACAAAAATATTTATAAATTGATAACTAAAAYCATTACCTTTATTTGATATTCTTTCAGGTTACCATTTACTAAAATGGAAGCTTGTTCAGTAACACTTTCATGAATAGTATGAGCAATACTGAAAAAATGATATGAATAACGTAATTAGTATACCTATTCATTAATTTTTTCTTTCATAAGTTCCAAACCTATAATAAGTATGTTCTTCTGAAGCATTTTTATATTCATCATCTTCCATTTTGGTTTTTTTCATTGGTTCTTTTTCTTCAACAGTTTCTTTTTCAAAGCTATTCTTTTTAATTTTTTGATTGCTTGATTCATCATCTTCTTGCTCATCATCATCATCATCTTCAGATTCTTCCATTACTTCCCAACCAGGATGAGCATCTAACCAATTGTTCAATTGTGATGCAAGTGGAGCTTCTTCCCCTTTAAACATTCTTCCTGTGATACAAATTCAAGTTTCAACATTAAGTAATGTAAAAAATACATAACAAAAATTATATACCATATATATATATATATATATATATTATAAAAAAAGACAATAATTTAAGGAATTAACATTAATGAGTAGTCAATAACGATATATCCTATCAAATAGGACAGTATACAATATTGACTAAGAAATAACATTAAGATTCACAACTTTCAGGCAATGGTGAATTTAGAAATATTTTCTAGGTAATGACAATAGTTATCACGTATTATTTAATTTCTAACTAATTTAAGTGTTTGGCTATACAAAACAATCAACATCTATCAATCTATCAATAGTAGACATTAAAGCAATTTCCTAAGCAAAGTAGTAAAGGTATTAGCAAAGTATATGATTTTTACAAAATCACCTATGTTGTCAGTTAATCCCTAGGCATTTATTTTATAATCTAATAAACATCATTGAAGGTAACATA